TTTATTTATTTATTTATTTATTTTGGTTTTTCGAGACAGGGTTTCTCTGTAACTTTGGAGCCTGTCCTGGAACTAGCTCTGTAGACCAGGCTGGCCTCAAACTCACAGAGATCCACCTGCCTCTGCCTCCCGAGTGCTGGGATTAAAGGTGTGCACCACCACCGCCCGGCTTAAGGTGTAGCTTTTTAACATCCTTTATTATGCCCAAATCCGCAGGGTCCCCCACACAAGCCATCAAAGGACACCAAGTCCCATATGTAAAAGCAAAGAGCCTTTATTTTAATCAAATTTGCAAACTCGGTCTCTCTACATGTCCAACATATTGGAATAACCGGAGAGCCCAAAGCTCAGTTAGAATTGGGTTTTTATAGTAGTAAAGGTGGGGGTGAGGGATCTCTGAGGTTCAGGACCCCTGACTGACCGACATTTGTCTAGGGGCATCCTGGTGAGGTGCGCAGGTGATCTTATCTAGGGGGGTTGGAATGCCAGGCATTTGCTTTGAGTGGTGTTCTTGGGTGGACGTCCAGCAATCTTGTGGTTCCTCCTGCAGCCAGGCGTTGTCTCAGACTCCAGACTCCATTTAAATTCATCGATGGCCAGAGAGTCCCAGGTGATACTGGTTGGAAGTAAAGGACTTCCTTTGGGTGACCTGCCCAGACTTAGATTATCATGGCTGGCCCCCACACCTTGACATCATCCGCTGCCAACTAAAGGTCGTTAGTCCCCCTCCCTCCTTTTGATAACCAAAGCTCTGCCCACTGTTGAAAGCTACTTCAAGAAAAATTATTTTATGTGCGTGGGTGTTTTGCCTGTTCTTGTATGTTCACCACACGCATGGCTGCTGCCTGATGAGGTCAGAAGAAGGAGTTAGATCACCTGGAACTGGAGTTACAGGTGTTTGTAAGCCACCATGTGGGTTCTGGAATTCACTTCGTAGACCAGACTGGCCTCGAACCCGTAGAGATCAGGCTGCCTCCCAAGTGCTAGGGTCAAAGGTGTGTACCACCACTGACCCGCTAAAGCTATTTGGTTTTTACATGAACTTGTTTTCCCAGGACCACTTTAGGATGATATAATCCCAGCACTCGGGAGGCAGAGGCAGGTGGATCTCTGTGAGTTCGAGACCAGCCTGGTCTACAAGAGCTAGTTCCAGGACAGGCTCCAAAACCACAGAGAAACCCTGTCTCAATAAACCAAAAAAAAAAAAAAATGGTGTGAACATGGCTCCAGACCGTAGTAGACCCCCAGACCTGAGCACAACTGACTCCACTACAGAAATGCCACTCGGGCTGTAAAACAGCATGCAGACAATACAACCAGCCAAAATGAAAACAAAGACCTAATCCGTCCAAGTCCATAGTCCTGGGAAAGTCTCTAAATGTGCTAACCTGGCTTTTGGCTTTTACAGTTCTACTTCTGGCTGACAGTTCTTGTTAACTGAAGTATGTTAACCCAAGACATGGATATTGTGCTAAAAAGCTCACCCTGAGAGAGGCTTGGAGCTACACTACATAGAATCCCAAACACTCAGTTAACAGCAGACTAACACAGACTTCCTATGAGCTTAAACTCCCGTCTGAGCAATCCTCTCTGGTGGGTACGCCATGGTAGTGGAATTACGGGAAGAAAAGATTACAGTGTTCCTCACCTTCCTGAATGCTACTGTCAGCCACCCAGGAACTGCACATCAGCTCCCAGGACTGGATGCTCCCCCACCTTATCCATTACTGAGCTTTAAGCCCCTGAAAAATCTCTGCAGGCCCCTCACCTTTCCATCCACCTCCCCCTTTACCAGTGAGCCTAGAACAGTGTTTGTCAAGTGCAACTCTGACCTCTTTCCCACTTGTCTGCTACCTCTTCCTCCCAGAAGTCTAAAACCCCTTCAAAGGTTCCTTTGTTCTGGGAACTTCCAAAGGACCTACAAGATCTACAGGGTTTGCCCCGCCCCCACCCCCATAGGCTCTTCAGCCTCATTTTGATCTTGTCCTCTTCCTTCCTCCACCCATTCAGGCCTTTTTTCAGACTTGCCTTCACCCTGCCTGCTCCTACCACAGTCCCTCTGCAAATATGTTCTCTTCCATCTAGAATTCTGTCCATCTTCCTCCAGTTAGCGCCAGTCGGGTTATGGCTCCTGCTGGTTCCCCAGGAAAGCCTTCCCGGATACACTGAAGGCTGCTTATTGGAGGCTTTGATGTTCAAACTAAGAGCAACAAGCATTGGAGGAGTAGCAGGTGGCTCTGAATTAGAGTTCCTGAAGAATTGGGTTGGAACCTCTGACAAAGGAAAGATACTAGGTGGCCGACCCACTGGACAAGGCTGGAGGCTATTCTGGGGCTATAATGATCCTCCTAGGCTGCCTGCTTGGCTCTGCCCGCTCTGTGCCAGCTCCATACTCAGTGTTCTGTGGGCTGAGCATGCCCAGAGCAGGCAGGTCTTTTACATCTATAATGAATGCCGCCTTTGTTTTGGAGTTAAGGCTACTGAGGGTGCCAAAAGATTAAGTGATTTATCATTGGTATCAGAGGCATGTGAAACTCGATTCCTCTGTTTGTACAGAAGTGGTCGGCCCCTCCCCCCACCAGATTCTACTTCCTTAAAATCCAACAGAAACAACCTTAGCTTGGGTGAGGAACAATAGTTAACCAATTGGCTAAACAAGCAACCTTTGGCTACAAATTCGCTGACTTTTCATCAAGTTACTGAGACCAAAAAGGATTGGTCACAGGGTAAAGGAGGTCTTTAATCCCTGCACTCCCTGAGGTGGAGGCAGAGGCAGGTGCATCTCTGCCAGCCAGAGTCAGTTCCAGGATAATCAGGGACACCCTGTATAAAAACACTGAAGGAAAAAAAAAGAGGAAATTGCTTTTGGCTTCTGAGCAAATGCTTTTAATTTTGATATGCAATATGAAATCCCTCATCTCCTAAATCCTGGGCTATGAACAATTTAACTTTCAAACAATAACATACTGCCCTGATCTTAAAACTAATAGATGCATTTTGTTTCATATTGGACCGGTTAATCTTGTTTCATTCCAAAGCCCACAGTGAAAGGTTGCTAGGGCGGGTACGTTATTTCAGGTGCAGCCACTTACAAGGTGCGCGACCATAGGGAAATTGTGCACCCTCTCTATGCCTGCTTCTTCATATGAACAACAAAGATCCTATGTGGGACTACAGGATGAGGACTGGCTGGATTCCGAAATGTAAACAACAGTGCCGACAACACTCAGTGAGCTCCGACGATTCCCATCCCTGGAACTGGCGAGCATCCTGGGGGCTTGCCAGGTTCTGTATCACAATCAAGTTTAGCTTCCTATCTGGAGAGGTTCCCCATGTCATTGTTAGGAATATTCCCAGTGCACCCCAGGTCTGTTCTTTCCATTACTCACCCCCCACACACACACCCTGTACGCTTTCTTGTACCTTCTGCCCCACCCAAGCTTTGCTGACTATTCCCTTTGTAGTCTTCTCCCCACTCATAATTTCACGTTTTCTTTCTTGTCTGTTAGATGAGAAGCCCTGCAGACCTAGCAATCATACCACCTTCTTCCTACCCCAGCAGACTCCTAGAGCGTGCTGTTTATGCTTACTAAGAGCTTTTCATTTGGTGGAGAGCTGGATTTAGGTACCCTGGAAATAAGTTAGATGCTCCTTAACTTTATGAGTGATTCTTTCCTGGCCACTGGCCATGCCACTGGAAACCACAGGGCAAACCACAGCTTTAAGGTGCACTGAGAAACATCAGGATATACTAGCTAGAGCTGTCAGAGAAACAAGAACTTCTTGGGAGAGGTATGGACGAATGTGGTGAGTGAACAGATTCTAATTCATACAGAAAACAGCCTCAGTTTTTATTGGAGTTAAGACAGAAGTGGATATAGTTTTCTAAAAAGTATTTGGACATTCGAAAAACAGAACTCTCACCTGCACGGAGCCAGCCCCGCATCCTCTTACCTGGAAAGCAGGTAACATGGGAGCACAGTACCTCTCTGTAGCAAGAATTTCAAACATTGACTGACATCAGCTTTTATTTTCGCTATGGTGGGGAGGGTATGGGTTCCTCAACAGATGCACCAAAGTCTAGCATTTCACAACCCCTTCCTCACCAACTGCAGAAGGCAGGGCAAACGAAGGGCCAGGGTCTCCTTCCCAGCAGATTTCCTGGCAATGTTGGGCACAGAACAACCTTGATGTTTCAAAAACAACCACACCCTTGGCTATTACTTAATACTCAAGCATGCTGAAGGTTTAGAACAAGGAGAGAACACGCCAATCATTCTCTAGAAAATCAGAACTCTTAGGCCTGAACTGCTTCACAGACCTTCCTGTCCAGCCCTGGCAATGGGCCTAGATTGTGATGATCCTCTTTTAAAAATCACAAAGTTCAAGTAATCTCTTCATCATCTCTGAAGAGAGAATAGAAAGTCATCACCAGAGGAGTGCGCGTGTCAGCTCAGCCTTCCCACTGAACAGACAGGCAGCTCTCTCAGATTCAGACTGCTCCTCTCAGAGCCTGTGAGAGAGCAGCAGCAGAGCTTCCCACACTGCTCCAGGCACACAGAGGTCATCAGTTGTTGCTGAGGTTATCTCAATTATGGGACGGGTCACCATTAACTTAACACTTATGAATCAAAAACTAACAAATATTTGGGTAGTACTAGGGCTTTCCTCAGATACATAAAAATAACTATGGATTTGTATGAAAATAGTGAGACAGAGGCAGGCAAATCTCTAAGTTAGAGGCCAGCCTGGTCTACAAAGCCAGTTCCTGGACAGCCACGGCCACACAGAGAAACCGTCTCAAAAAAGAAAGAAAAAGGAAAAAGAGAAAAGAAAGTAGGAAAAAACAGAAGAGAAGAAGAAAAGAAAGAAACCAGGCAGTGGTAGTGCACGCCTTTAATCCCTGCATGTGGGACGCAGAGACAGGCAGATTTCCAAGTTCAAGACCAGCCTGGCCTACAGAGCAAGTTCCAGGTCAGCCAGGGCTATGTAGAGACCCTGTCTCAAAAAAAAAGGGCAAAAAACAAAAAAATAGAAAAGACATATTTATAATTTCACACTAGGGAGGTTATGAAAACCTCCATCCTGAAGTATGTGCTGCGTCTGTTGGTTCGAGGGAGGAAAGCTGGATGCAGCAGTTTGGGTAGGAATTAAGCTAACAGTGCCTTTCAAAGGGACAGCGGAGCAAGTCACAGAAAGAAGCCAGCTAGGATGGCACTCTCTCTGGAGCTTGTGCTGCCAGTGGTGACGCAGAAACACAACTGAACAGGATCTCCTCAGCAGCAAACTCCTCCCATGACAGCTGCTTCCATGTACTTTTACGTTCTCTGGGTCCTGACTCAAGTCAGGAGACTAAAAACATCAGCCATCCCAGCCCTCAGACTAGGCTCCATTGGCTGGGGCCTTCTTCACAGGCTCCTAAGAACGGCTTACTCTCCCGTGGTCCCCACGGGCAAGGTGAAGGTCACAGACACCTCTGGCTGTGTGAGAAATAAGCTTTCGTAGCCCGAGGAATCAGAAAGAACTTCTCCTATTTTTTTTTTTTTTTTAATGGCCTTTCCATTAAAGTCCTCCATCCGGTGGGGAGCAAGGCAGAGTTTTCACCTGGGCCAAAAGGTTGTGGAATTCCTCCATGGCCTGTGTGTGCGCCACTGGATTCAGCACCAGGTGTTGGAAAAGATTGACAGGCTCAGCATTCCGGAATGTCTTAGGGATCGGGATGGTCAGGGGCAGGAAGGTGTTGCCAATGAGGAAATGATGGAGAGACCTTTGCTGGAGGCCCTGGCCTAAGAAGCAGAGAAGGTCCTGGAGCCGCCGGGACAGCATGCAGTGCTGCCAGTCCGTCAGAGGCCGTTGGAGCAGCAAGTGCATGAGGGCTGTTTTGAAGTGGTAGGAGGTAAGGATGGGGCGGGTCGCTCCTGGGGGTAACCTCGTGTGGTCCTGAAGACTCAAGATGATCTGCAGGCACTTGAGGTGGCAGGTGTTCTCAGGGGCAAAGCGTCCCACCAGCTTCAGAAACAAGTGCTCACAAGCCGCGAAGGACTCAGGCCAGTCCACACTGGTGAGCTGCTCTAGCTCTGGGGCCTGACTCACCAGGTAGACCAAGGTATCTTCCCGTTGCACCCCAAGAACCAAACTGATGGATAGGAAGCGGCCTGAGCGGTAATCCAACCTGAGCTTGCAGGAGGTGGTGGATGGTGGGAGGGTAAGCTTGAAGTCATATTTGTGGGCCACTAGGGCCCAGGCGTTGCTCACCATGTTGCGGAACCACTGCACGGTCTTACACACGTCCAGGTGCGAGCCGGTGCAGAGAGCCGCCTTGATGGAGCTACACTCGTTCAAGATGGCTGAATGGTCCCTGCGGTGGCACACCAGACACAGCACATCCCCCAGGAGCTTCTCCTGTTTGCACCTGCATCCCGAGTCCACCCTCACAGAGCCGCAACGACGGCCCAGGGCCGGATCTCTCATCTCCAAGACAAACCTAGTGCCCTGCGGAGGGGCAATGGGCACCAGGACACCAAACTTCTGCGTCTCGTGGAGGGTCCCCCACTTCTCAAAGGCAGCTCCAATGCCCTGGCAGTCCTCCAGCTGCGGGTGAGCCTCCTGGCGGCTGAGCACCCGACAGGCCTCAATGAGATCGTCCACAAAGCTCTCCACAAACTCACAGGTGCAGGGCAGGTCGCGGATGGCATTTTGGATATAATGTTTGTAAAAGGACTCCAGGGCTTCCTGGGAGGGAAAATCAGAGAGCCAGGTGTAAGAGGTGGCAGGCACGATGCGGACCTCTTCCTCTTCCTCCTCGCTGCTGGAGTCAAAGGCTGGCTCGTGCTGCATGTTCTGTCGCAGGAGCTCAAAGATGAGAAAAAGGCAAAAGAGGCCCGCATTCCATAGGTTCCCCAGCATCCAGCGCAGAGGCCCCCCATCTTGGTCACCGGCCTGGAACGGCCATCCCATGTCCTTCTTCCCCAGCACTAGCTGATCAGTGGATGTGTCTCCTCTCCAGAAGTTCTCCGCTTTCTGCTTCTGCTCAGCGGCTCGCCTTCTCTCCTCAAACTCTATCTCTAGCTGCCGCATCTCCTCGCTCATTCGCTTCTCCAGCTGCCGGCTCCGGGCCAGTGTGTCCAGGTCCATCCGGTCACTGACCATCAGGGGGTGGTGAACAACGTACATCACTGCCAAGAAGAGCAGGCTTATCACAGCCATGGAGGCCTCTGCATCTGGAGAAGGAGGGTGGGGGTCAGTGGTGACTTTCTGGCCCCATCGATTCTCCAGGACATAGTCCCCAGAGCCCTGGTCCCTCAAATCCTGGATGCTGACTACTCAAGAGGGAACAGAAAGTGCATAGAGCTGGGTTTGGACGGAGCAAGACGAGGTTTAGGGAAGGGAAGTGGAGACAGCAGGATGTACCCTGCCTGAGTCAACTGCTTTCCTTACACATCCTGTGGGTGCTATTTAGGCTGCCAGAGGGTGAACACGAGTCTGTTTTTTTATTCCAGTATAATATGGGGAGGGGGACCCTTACAGTGGGGTGGCCTCACCCGACTCATCAGTCCACCTCGGGCACCAGATATGCCCTGCCAGTCCCAGAGGCTCCCTTCCACAGGCAGAAAACACAGAATCTGTCCAGGCAATATCTTCCCCATCCTTGGGTAGCCAACCTCAGTCCCTAGCTGCAGCATCCCACTTCCTCTGTGACTTCATAACCCTGCCCTGTGTCATTAGACCATTCAGCCTCAGCACTCTGCCCTGCAGGAGCCAGACAGGCACGATGCTGAGGTTCTGAGGCAGATGGCCATCGGTCCAGCCGCACTTCCCAGCCCAGGAAAGTACCTGCAGAATCGAGTGGCCAAGACCCAACTGACAGACGGTAGCAGAGATTCCCTGGCCCTCCCACCAACCACTGAAGCCTGAAACTTCCGGCCTTCACCCCAGTAATTCACCAGCCACTGGGCTTCCTGAGCCATGAAGGGCAGGGCACTGTGGACACGGAGTTCAGGTGAGGGGCTCTTCTCCCTTTGGAACTGCGCCCAACTGCCCTTTCCATGAGCCCTGCTCCAAATTACCAGGGCCACAGGGATCTGCCTAAAAGTGGAGTCCCCTCTGCCCTCAGTAACTTCCCCAAATTCCACTCCCAGACAGTGCATTCTCACCTCTCTTCTGCCTCAATTAAACACCCAGACTAAGGGCTTCTCTTGGGATTTGGGGCCACCTTACTCACGGTCTCTGTTAAGAGCAAGAGAGCATTCTTAAGGACACAGCGCGGCCTGGCCCCCCCTGCCTTCTTCCGGGCGTGCACGATGCTCCCAGTTCATAGCCGGCACCAACTACGGGAGTGGTCCCGACGTGCTCTTTCTGGGGTACAGACTATGTCTCCGACAGACCAGAGTCTGCGGGCTGTGGACTGCTGCGACTACCACGCGGTGCCAGTCGCGAAGAACTCGTGCAATCCACAGCGGTTCCCGCCTCAGGGGTTCCGCCCCGGCAAGCTCCACCCCTTGCTCAAAGCCACGAGGCGGGGCCTGGGGCAGAGGCTCAACCAGAACTGAGGCCCTCCCGCAGAGCGTACACCTTTCGTCCCTAGCCTGTCTCCCTTGGGTTTGAAGGGACAGCAGAGCATCTGTGGCTACCCTCTCACAGCCACTCTGCTTCGTTCGGTGGCACAAGGCTGAACTGCCTGCTGCCACCCTCACCAAGGTTCTTCCTGGACAATGTATACTTACTGAGAATGTGGGTGGGAAGCTGATGGAGACAGAACTAGGAACCACGGGGAAAAGCTAGTCTCACTTCTCTCTGGCTTATGCAAGGTGAAAAAGGAGATGTGTTTAGGTACCCGGTAATAAGCATCATTTGATGGGAAAGATGACTCAGTGGGTGGACTGCCTCTTGGCCAAGCTTGAAAATGTTAGTTTGGGTCCCCAGGCATATACCTCTAACCCCAAAGTTGAAAGGACACACTAAGTAGGTCCACTGAGCTTAAGTGGCCAATGAGTGTAAGGTTTTATTAAGAGATCCTGTCTCTTGCCTTTAATTCCAGTACTTAGGAGGCAGAGGCAGGTGGATCTCTGTGAGTTCGAAGCCAGCCTGGTCTACAGTGTGAGCTCATGATGTTGACCTATGGCCTCTACAGGTACACAGGAGGCAGGTGCACACATACACATGCAACACCACACACACACAAGCACGCACATACACAGGTATATGCATACACCACTACAGACCTCACCTCCAGACCATGCCCAGAATCATGAATCTTTTTCCCAATCATAGTGATTCTTAGGAAAGGAGATCTGTCGCTCAAAGAGCTGCGTTGGAGCCTTGTTTGCCACTCACTAGTCACATAAAAGTAAGAATCCTAAACCTAGTCTGACAGTGGTGGTACCTGCCTTTAAACCCAGCCCTCAGGAGCAAGAGGCAGGCAGATCTCTCGAGTTCAAGTCCAGCCTGGTCTACAGAGTGAGTTCCAGTACAGGCAGGGCTACACAGAGAAACCCTGTCTCAAACAAAACAAAACAAAAGTAAAAGAATTCTAACCCTCCAGACAGCTCTGCTGATCATACATCATATCAAAGAGAACTTCATAAAGTATAAAAAGGCTAGATAAGGTTTAGTACACGTTAAACATGCCAACAAGGGCCTGATGGTTGAGAGCCCTGACTGTTCTTCTGAAGGACCCAGGTTCAATTCTCAGCACCCACATGGTGCTTACAACTGTCTGTAACTCATGCATGCTATGCATAGACATAGGTAGGCAAAACACAAAAAATAAATCTGGGGAGATGGCTCAGCTGGAAAGGACACTTGCCTTTCCAGAGGACACTCGTTTGGTTCCCAGCACCCTCAAGATGGCTCTGTAACTTCAGTTCCAGGGAACCCAACAATCTGACACCCTTTTCTGTCTCTATGGACTCTAGGTGCAGAATGCCCATCCACACAAGTGCGCGAAACACACCTAAGCAGCTTTTAAAAGTAAAGCAATCTTTTAAAAAGGGAGATGCCAACAAGCTATAGAACTATTATTCCACTTAAAGATCATACTTGAATTGACAAAATCTTAGTGTCAAAAAATCTTTGGGGTTTTTTTTGTTTGTTTGTTTTTGTTTTTTCTTTCGACTTTGTTTCCCAACTTGTTTTGTTTTGCAGATGGGGTAGCACTATGTAGCCTTTACTGGCCTGGCCCACAGAGATCCACCTGCCTCTGCCTCCCATGTGCTGAAATTAGTGTGTGTTTCCATGCCCAGCTCCAAGATGTATTTTTGTATTTATTTGTTTGTTTAGAGACAGGGTTTCTCTGTGTTGTCCTGGCTGTCCTGGAACTTGCTCTGTAAACCAGGCTGGCCTCAAGTTCACAGAGATCTGCCAGTGTCTGCCTCCTGAGTGCTGGAATTAAAGACATGGACCAACACCACTCGGTTCTGTTTTTATTTTTATTTTATTTTTTGGTTTTTCTTTTTTTTGGGGGGGGGGCAGTTTCAAGACAGAGTTTCTCTGTAGCTTTTGGTTCCTGTCCTGGAACTAGCTCTGTAGACCAGGCTGGCCTCGAACTCCAGAGATCCGTCTGCCTCTGCCTCCCAAGTGCTGGGATTAAAGGCATGTGCCACCACCGCCCGGCTATTTTTTGGTTTTTTAAGACAGGGTTTCTCTGTGTAGCTTTGGAGCCTATCCTGGAACTTGCTGGCTATAGTCCAGGCTGGCCTTGAACTCACAGAGATCCACGCTCCTCTGCCTCCCAAGTGCTGGGATTAAATGCTGCATACAGCACCACCGCCCAGCTTATATTTATTTCTTATGTGTGTGAGTGTTTTCCTGTGTGTATGTCTTTGCACCATGTATGGTGCCTGGTACCCAAGAAGTGATGGGGGAGAGTCTTCTGTTTTGTGTTAATTTCGTTGGTTAAATAAAGAGACTGCCTTGGCCCTTTAATAGGACATAAAATTAGGTAGGTGGAGTAAACAGAACAGAATGCTGGGAGAAAGAAGCTGAGTCAAGGAGTCGCCATGATTCTCCTACCGGACACAGACGCAGGTTAAGATCTTCCCTGGTAAGACACCTCGTGGTGTTACAGGGATATTAGAAATGGGTTAGGTTAATATGTAAGAGCTAGCCAATAAGAGGCTGGAACTAATGGGCCAGGCAGTGTTTAAAAGAATACAGTTTCCGTGTAATTATTTCGGGGCATAAGCTAGCCATGCAGGCTGCCAGGTGCCAGGGACGCAGCCTCGCCGCTCTTACTACAACAAAGAAGGTCAGAAGATCCCCTGGAATTGGTGCTGGGAACTCCTCTTAGATCCTCTGCAAGAGCAACAAGTGCTCTTAACAGCTGAGCCATCTCTCTAGACCCCTCCAACCTGTACTTTGTAATTTAGGAGTGAGGAAAAACAGGAAACCCTCCAGAGTTTGTGCTGATGGCTGATGTCATACGAGTGACAAGTGAAAATAGCTGTAACGTGGCTCATTTTAACAAATCAGCTCTAGCACTGTAGGTACTCACGCTTGCAAGGCAAAGAAATACTGCAGATTTTCTGTGAAATAGATTTAGCTGTAGCCTTTAAAAACTTTTATTGTAAGCCAGACGTCTTTCACAGAAATATAACCCCAGAATTTGGGGAGAGTTGAGGCAGGGGATAAGTTCAAGGCCAGTCTAAGCTCCGTGAGAGAGACCCTGTAAAAGCTGGACAGGTGCTGGGAGCACAAAGATCCCCTGGGTCACAGATAAGCATTAGGGAAACCAGGAATGTTAAACACACAGGGCTTTCTCTTCTGTAGAAGAGATGTATAATTGATTTCTGAACAGAAGGCTGGGAATGGGGGTGGCTAATAACCCAGATAATTCTTGCTCTATTCATATGGGTAGGAGCTCCCCCAAGCTCCGACAACCAGGAGAGGAGGCGGCAAATCATCCAGATGACCTCTGTGCTGTCTGTGTGACTGAGACTACACCAGATCCTCCCCTAGGCCCTGATAACACCTGCAGCCTATCTCTAAAACCCATCTTCGTGGAAGAAGCAACTCCTGCTTTGAGAAGAGTTTTGACGTATCTGCTGTACAGGCCAGAAGTGGTGGCACACACTTTAATCTCAGCACTCAGGAGACAGAGACAGAGGGATCTCTGTGTGTTCAAGGCCACCCTGAGCTCCACAAGATTGACTCTGTCTAAAGGAGCTCGTACAAAGGTGATCCCAGCACTTGGAATCACATGCCTTTAATTCCAGCACTAGGGAGGTGGAGAAAGGAGCAATATGACTTACTGGAGAGAGGGAAAAAAGGGGAAGATGGGGGAACGCAGTGTAGTATGGAGTCTGAGGATTCGTGGAGACAGGATCTCTCTCGCTCCTTCAGTCTGAAGATCTGAGGTCTGGTGGAGACAGGATCTCTCTCGCTCCTTTGGTCTGAAGATTTGGTAGAGGTAAAAGGTCTCTCTAGTGGCTGGCTGCTTTGCTTTTCTGATCTTCAGGTTGAACCCAATATCTGTCTCTGGGTTTTTATTATTCGTGCTATAAAGAAGAAGAAAACTTATGAAGTGATCATTATAAACAACACAGGAAGTCGCTACCAATATAATTGCATTGATTCCACCTGTTTGCCATCCAAGCCTTAAGCTTGTTTAAAACCTTTCTCCTTTTGGTGAGAACAGTTGCGCTTAAAGACTCAACATTGAGAGAAATATCAAGAAGCATTGCTTAAAGATGATTTATTTCCAGTTTTCCTTATTCTCAATGAAAAGACTATTTGATGTGGGAGTGTCATATATCAATCTGTTGATTTCATTGGTTAAGCAATAAAGAAACTGCTAGGCCCATTTGATAGGCCCACTCTTAGGTGGGTGGAGTAAACAGAACAGAAGGCTGGGAGAAAGAAGCTGAGTCAGTGAGTTGCCATGATTCTCTCACTCCAGGCAGATGCAGGTTAAGATCATTCCTGGTAAGCCAGCTCATGGGCTACAGCAGATTATTAGAAATGGGCTAGTCCAGGTGCGAGAGCTAGCCTAGAAGAGGCTAGATAGAAATGGGCCAAGCGGTGTTTAAAAGAATACAGTTTCCGTGTAATTATTTCGGGTAAAGCTAGCAGTGGGGGCGGCCAGGTGCCGGGGAAGCAGCCTGCCGCCCTTGTTTCAACAGAGTGGCGCCCGACGTGATGGACTAAATCCACTTAAAAACCTGAGAAGGCTTAAAAATAAGGGAGAGAGAGTTTAACATAGATTTTTGCTGTTTGTTGCTGGCGTGCTGTAGAGAGATTTCCTGATTCGGCAACAGCAGCAGAAAAAATGCTGTGTCATTTTAAAGCTCTGCTTCCTGGGGCTGTGCTGCCAGCGTGAACTCTGGCTTTAAAGCATTCCAATGGATTTTATGTTTTATGTTCCGAAGGAGAGTGCTCTGCTCCCTGCCTGCACCTGGGCGGACTGCAGAAT